ACCAGACTATGACAAAGATTTAATAGTCCTTTTATACTTGCCATATTTAGTTAGCGAGGGTTTGGAAAGTTATTTTTTTCTTCACAGGTTAATTACCAAAACTGTAAAATACACAATGTGTGAGTATTTTTATTTTTAGTTACATACACAAGTTACAAGTCCAAATTCTTTGGGAATCCAAGCACGTCAACTACTTGTTTAAATTTATGGAAGCATCTGAAAATATGCCCATCGTGCCACAGCATCAACTATGCTATATGAAAAATTAAGTGTATCCAGTGCTTTTAATAGTAATTTTTGGATGTTGAATATAAAAAAATGACACTTCACACAAACCTCTGCGCAAACAGTTCGACACTGGAATTGTGGATTTATCCCAAAAGCTATGACGTATTTTCAAAACCTGTAGTTTCGCCCACTTTTCTCCAGACTCTCACCTTTATGTTCTGTTTTTATTTTAAGATGAAGTTGAATCATATACCTCTAGCTGCCCAGAAACAGTGAAAGTTAGTCATAATTGCCCAAATTGCCATGGCTTCTGTTTAAAAATATATTTATAATAGACTTATAATCACACCATGCAAAGTTTAAACTTTAGATATGTAGTCCATGTAGTCCAATTCAAAAGATGGCTGCTGCAGAACAATTTCCAGAGAGTCATCAGTGGAGATTGATAATCTGCATTTTTAGTCCTGAGCTTTTAACTTCGTTATCTGGCAGAGAAATGTATCACAGAGAGAGACCAAACTGGAAAGGATGTTAGAGATGGATGGATGGATGAAAGTAGAGGAGCAGAGGATTAATATGGTGGAAATTAGGGTAGCTATGAAGAGTATGAAGAGTGGAAAGCTAGGTGGTCCTGATGAGATACCTGTGTAAACATGGAGATGTCCAAGAGAGAAAAGTCAGCTGAAGCAAGACAAAATTTGTGTGTGAATGAGAGGGAGACGGGTTGTCAATCTTCCAAAGTAATGGACAGTGCGAGAGGTCCAGGCTGGATGAAGTAGGTAGAAATGAGTGACAGGGGCGTGAAAAGGAAGATTTACAAGATGGTCAACTTGCTATGAGGTGTGTTTTGAAGATGGTGGAGCTCACAAAAAGACAGGAGGCCGAGCTGGAGATGCTAATATTTACATTGGGAGTAACCAAGATGGACAGGATTGGAAATGTGGACATCATCAGAGGGATATCTCAGGTTGAGAGGAGGGATAGTGGATGTACTGGTTGTTGAAGATGGAGCTGCCAGGCAGGAGGAAAAGACGAAGACCGCAGAGAAGGTGGATGTTGTGAATGAGGACATAGAAAGGGTTGGTGTGACAGAAGGGATTGTAGGAGCAGGGTGAGATGGAGGCAGATGGTCCACCATGGTGACCTCTAAAATGAGCAGAAAAAGAATATCCGGCATATCAGATATTAAATGTTCCTGCCTTTCCAGTGAAGTAACAGACTGTGTTATAGAAGAAAAGGTAATAGTCAATTGAATTCACGGGGCATGAGCAGGGAGCACGAGGTCCCATGTTCTGCCTGTTGCACTCTCTATCCATGCAGCTCCATCGCTGAAGCCAGAGTACTTCCAGAAGTGAGACCCCATCTGAGCATGTAGTTCACAAGGACCAGCTGGACAAAGTCCCAACGTAATCCTCCTGACACTGCCTGGAGTTCATCTGTCAAAACAGCTTCTGATATACATGGCTTTCTAGATGCTTGTTCATCTCAATCAAGGTTGATTAGCTCTTTAGTCAGAGAGTGTTTTTATATGAAAGTTCGAGCTGCTGCTAATCTGTGATGAATTTTTAAAAAATCCCCTTAAGGTAAAAGCAGGATAGTTTGTTTCTTTGAGCAAAACTAATAGATGGCATGAGCTGCCACTTTCTCTCCATGTATCCTCAGCATTTAGGGGCGAAGGTAACCAACGAGGCAATCACCTGAAAAACTGCTTCAAAGTGCAACAGCCGGCCTTTCGGGGATAACCGGCAGCATCAGGCGTAGATGCCTGTGGCCCTCAGCCTTCCTCCCAGAGCAGGACTCTCATTCCGGGCTGCATTTCCCCTCACTCACAAGGTGTCAACTGGAGTGATGAGATATTTAGCAGAGCGGGATAGGGAGCTCGGTTCTCAGGGGGAATCGACTCCAACGGCGAGGCCCCGACTAACCCTCGCCCTCCCAATACAATTCTCCCGTCGTCTCCTCTACTTTATCTGTCGGCGGTCAGAATGAAGAGGCAAAATGACCAGTGGAGAGACAGAGTAAATATGGCCGAGCCGCCGACAGACAGGAGACGAGCTCATTCAGCTGATAAGTCAGGCCCCGGCCTACAGAAGAAGGGCAGTAACACACGGAAACAGACACATACACATACAAGGAAGCAGATACACTGGATGTTCTATCTGACAAAGAAGGTCTGCTTTTAAATTACACAGAAACTCTAGTTTTTAATGTTGCTCAGGATGTGATGTGTATTCTGTCATTGGTCAGATTGTCGCATTTCACAGTAAGAGAAAACACAGAGCTTTAAAAAAAAGCATGCATCTGTATTCTTCGATGTGTTTGTTATAAGAATGAAGCTGCTGAACCAATTAAAGTCATATCAAAATGATTCAATGCTGTGTCTCAATTTATACCGAGATTAAAGGCATAATATTTGGTGCAAAAGCCAACAGCCATCAGTTGTGATGATGTGATGTTGGTAAGAGATTAATTCGGCTTTGAAATTCATTTAATTTCCCATTAAAGTTTTAGGCTAGACTCTTTATTTTTGACAGTCATACTGTCAAAGTGTAGGCATACGCTTCTAAAGGTGTTAATGATTATTAATTGATTATTTTGGAGGATATTTAGGAAAAAAAAACAATGAATTTTTAGGCCTTGCGTGTAATTACAGTGGTGGATTCTCATATTAAACATGGCCATAGCTTTAAATAGTGACATCAGTGTATGTACAAATACTCCCTGTGAGACAAAAGCTCAGGCTTCTCACAGTTTTTTTTTCTACTCTTGGATCTCTATGATGTCACAGAGAGGATATCCCTTATTTGGACATCTCAGGCATGCAGCTCTGGCTGTGCGCACAGAAGCACTTTCCACTTCCTGTTTAGACCATCTGTTTGTAAGAGGGCAGCCAATCAGAAGAAAGTTGACTCAAAGGGATAAATGGCCCAAATGTATGAGTATCAACACAAAAATGGTGAGGCCTAAAAATCAAGTTTGGGCTGCTTGTTTGGGGTTGGCATGCCCTCAGCTTTTAGCATCTCACTCCTAGCATCGTGTTAGCATCAGAGACTGACAGATTTTCTTTTCAGGAATGCAAAATTGTGTCCAGAAAGGGTACAGATTATATGTTACTGTCGCATTCTTGTCCCTAAACTCAGTAAATTTAAAGTGCATATTTTCACTCCCTAAATGTTGGGGATCGTTCTTCCTGTGCCCCGCACTAAATGATCTCAGACACCTGTTCAGCAAACACGCATGAAAAGGCCGGTTTGTCCGACAAACTCATTACTTTGGAACACCCGGTACTGCCAAATCTAAATAAATGCAAATGGAAATCACGGTGTTATTTTTACCAAAGTGGTCCTGACTGAAGTGTGAATGCTAAAAGCTAGTTTCACAGTACACGCTCTGATCCACAGTGAAGGAAGGAAGTGCAAACGCTCGCTCGCTTTCACTCTTGCACAAAATACCTGCACCGGCACACACAACCGTCATACAGCACATCTCCGCTCCAAAACGTGTGCAGCGCTATCTGCAAAGTAGGCAAATCCCTTCTCTCCCCCGCCGAGTGCGGAATCGAGCCTCAAACTAAATGTTTCAATCAAAAGGTTTTTATCCTCCTGTGGCAGATTGCCTTTGTTTTTGAACGGATTTGCCCCTAGTTAGGCTTTGATTGCGTTGTGTGAGTAATGGTGTGGTGTGATAGATTATGACTTGCCGTCTCAGCTTCGTTTCAGCCGGCACCGCAGCTTTCATCAGGAGCGTTGTGGGTTTTTGTCTCCTTCGTGTCATAGTTGTTAGCAAGCGTGTTGGACGTCTGATTTGTTACCCAGCTTCAGTGTGCGTACACAATCATCTCTCTTACACACACACATACACACACTGCCGCTGCTCTGAGGCGTAAGAATTCGAACAATTAGATGCCGTTCTAGTGACCGTTAAAATCTCTAAATCTTTCTCTTGCCCTCTCAACCTCTCTTCGTAGTCGCCCAAATCACTCTCTCTCTCTCTCTAGGTCTTTCCCCCCCTCTTTCACACATATTAACACACTCACACACAGACACACACAGATCAAGTCTCTCTTCATATGAGATGATGAAATAGTTGGAGAACTCGGGAAATCTGTTTCTGGTGATACCGTTTTGGACTCAGAGATAACTGAGCCCTTTTGGGGGAAAGAAGAAAGCCCACCGGCTTTAGACTCAAGTTTCCTGTGTGACTGTGTGTGTGTGTGTGTGTGTGTGCGCAAGAGAGGACTTTTTAATTGAGAATATTTTCTTTCTTTGCTGAAGTTAAGTTTGTTAATACAAAGATGTTTGTGGATGATTTCAGGTGTGTATCATCACTGTAGACATGTGGCTTATTGCCCATATTGTGTTCACTCAGTACAACAATTATTACAGGTGTGTTTGCAAGCAACAAAGTACCTGAACAATCCTTTGACTCCTTTTCTCTTTCTTCTCCCATTTCCTCTCCTGCCTGAACTCCTCTCCTCTCCTCTTTCCTCACTTCTCCATTTCTGTTTTTCTCTTCCTCCCTTCTCTCTCATCTTGGCTCCTCTCTCATTTCCTTCCATCCTTTCATGTTCTTTTTTTGTCTCCTTTCCTCTCATCTTTGGGGGCTTGTGGCCTTTCTATACTTCCCTTTCATCTTCTATCACTTCTTTATTTTTTATCTCACTTCCTCACTCTCTTCTTCCCTTCTCCCTTTCTTCATCCTTCTCGTTTTCCCTTTCTTCCTCTCTTTCCCTCCCCTTCTTTATGCTCCTCCTCATCCTCCCTTCTCCGCAGGGCTGCTCATCTCCCATCGTGGTGAAGTTTGCCGACACACAGAAGGACAAGGAGCAGCGGCGTCTGCAGCAGCAGCTGGCGCAGCAGATGCAGCAGCTCAACAGTGCGACCACCTGGGGGAGCCTGACGGGCCTGGGCGGCCTCACCCCGCAGTATCTGGCTGTAAGGAGCGCCGTCGAGCCGCCCACCTCCATCACCTCCTCCACAACCCCTTACTGCAGCCCCGTGGCCAACACAGCAGCAGTCAGTGCCCCCAAACAAGAACAATCTAACTCAAAAAAATCTATCCAACATAGGCCTGCCGTCTTCTCCTTCTTCATTTCTTCCTTTTGTTCTGTAATTCCTTTTTTAGAGCTGCCATTGTTCCTCTCCTTTATCTTACTCTTGGGAAAGTTGCGCAGTGAGGAAATGGGGTCTCTGAATTAAGGTTGCCAGAAGATGATCTTTCATGTTCGATATCTGAAAAATGTTCACGCCAGATAAAAATGCAGGGATTCACGTCCTGTTTCTGAATTTCTCATGAAGTGCTCATTGCGATGGTGTTCACAGATCTGCATTCAGTATTAAATTGGAGGTGGAAAGCCAGAAAGTAGAAAAATCAATAGTTTAAAACAATTTAGTTGTTGAATTTTTGACAAATAATAGAAACATAATTAATGAAATCATAATTATATTTCATCAGGAATATTATTTAATTCATGTCAAGGGATTCTAAAACAACTGTTTTATGATCAGTTTATTGTTTGTGTAGGTTACGGCTGAAAAGTTACATTTTATCCTAAAGATTTCATTTTTGAGCCCGTTCTGGTCCTCAGGTCATCAAATATTACATTTAATTTAAAGGTGATACTCGTGTGACGCACTCGTCAAACCACAATATTTTCACAATCTTAAAAGTGAACAGCTAGACCAGGGGTCAGCAACCTCTCACACCCAAAGAGCCATTTGGACGCGATTTCCACGCAAAAGAAAACACTGGGAGCCGCAAATACTTTTTGACATCTAAAATGAAGATAACACTGTAATATTGTTTTTTTACCTTTATGCTTTGTGTGAACAACTAAGGCGTGCTGTGCGCTTTAACACCGGCTGCATGCGTACAGCAACCGTGTGTGAAAAGTGGTCAATAAAGAGATGCTGAAAAGCGTGTTCATGGAAACATCGTCGGGTCTGCAGTGATATGTTTACAATGGGACTTCTGCTCCTGAATCTCTGCGCACAGCGTCTGCAAATCGGGGCTGTACGAAGTCACTTTCATCTTTACGCAGGACTGTAAGCTGTCATCTGTGAGGCGTGAGCGGTGTTTGCTTTTAACATAGTCCACGGTGGAGCTGCTGACATAATGTGGATCCGAAGATCCAGAATTGTCTTACCTGGGGTTGAAAGTCTCGATAAATGCACGGTGTTTTGGCGGGTATATCGGCTTCCACAAGTGTGACGCTTATTTTGAGCGATCAAAAAAATAATAGAATAGAATTTTATATTTATATTTCAATATCACAATAATCTTCCAATTTAGAACTACAAGTTAAAAAAGAACTAACATAAATAAAAAATAAAATCAGCTAATTACTTAAAAAAAAAAAGTATTTTCCCAAACCACATGGAGCCGCACTAAAAGGACTAAAGAGCTGCAGGTTGCCGACCCCTGAGCTAGACGAAGCAAAAGTAAACAACTGCTAGCATCAGGGCTTCAAAATAGCCATCTAAATAATGTCCTTAGCTTACTTACCTTAGCCATTAATGTAGTAATCTACAAATTAATAATTAACCAGCTAGTAAAATAATAATAATAATAATTAGCATTTCACTATTTCTTAATGGTAAATAATTTTTACATCCTTTATTGATGTATTTTATTTTTTTAGTTAACTAAAAAATTACAAATTAAATGCAATAGCAATGTAGCCTCAAAACTATATTAAGCAATTTTAGGCAAATGTGCGCTAATATTTATGATTATGCTATGCACTGTATAACATAACATTCTAGCGGTTGACTGATCACACACTGTCTGATCTGAAGAATCAAGAATCAAACTTACTATTCCAGTGAAGTGGCATACATCAACTATAAGCACAAAAATAGCCTAGCTAACGTATGCCCTGGAAATGCTGCGTAAATGTATAACGTGACTACCTAACCAACAAATCTTTAAAAGCTTCACATGTGCCAGATTATTACTTGAAAACTGAAAAATATTTTCCACCTGTCCTTTAGCTGTTCTTTTACAACTATGTAACCGTATCAGTAATTCCATCCGCCGTTTGCTCTTCCTGTCATACGTAAAGCAACTAGCGAACGCTCCGGACATGCTTGGTTATCTTTGTAGCTGATAGCATCTCTTCCTCTTGTGCCGTCATACCCTGTTTGTACTTTACAGTGTGTTTTTGCTTTAGGTAGCAAAGAAGAACTATTGTTTCCACCTTCAGTGGGAACAGTTTTCTTTGATATTTTACAAAGTATTGTGCTTTGAGGTCTGTCCTGTTGTAGCTCCTTTTTAAATGCTAAATCATCATCAGAGGCTGACACCCTTCTCTCGCTCTTTTATGTAAATGCATGACATCTCTGTGCCGCTGATATCGAAACATATTACAGTATTATGTGGAAAAGTATGCTACTAGGGTGTGAAGACTAACGAACACATGATTTAATTGTTTTGCCGACAGATGTGTTGAAGCTATATCCAGCGTGTAGATCATGTCTGTAGATAATCTGGCAAGTTGGGTAACGCGTATGTATTAAAATGATTCAAAATAAAGTTGAGGGTGACGCAAATTATGGGATTTTCCAGAAGATAAACCAAAAAGTGAATGAATGGAGTGTTGGAGATAATCCTGAACAGATTTTTGCAACTTTTTGTGGATCTTGTTCTCCAAAATTTGTTAGCATAAACTATAAATTAGAGGTTTTCTGCTAATGATAATAATTATCCGTTTTCTATTTTCAAAAATAGTAGTCATTACTTTTAACTCCAAAAAGTATGAATCAAAAATGGTTAGTAGATAATTTCATGGATACAGAGGCGCTTGCCTGATGTCCTCTTTGAAAATTTATAATGTCTAAATTTTGTGGATTTAAACGGGTGTAAAAATAAAACTGGAGGTTGGCGTGGAGCGTACTGGAATCGTCTGATGTCCAATTTAAAAACTGCTGCAGCAGAAGCTCAGCTGCTCGGCGTCTAAAATTGTTTAGACGCTTTTGATTTTTTGATTGGGAAGTTTCTTGTTTTATACTAGGGTTCAGAGACCCCTTTCTCCTCTTCTCCTTCCTCAATAGCTTTGGGGAGCTAACCCTTGACTCGTTGCTCTTTAGTTTCTAATTTAACAACCTAAACCGCCGTTAAAATACACTTCTTAAATGTCGGGGATTTGATTCCCATTTTGTTTGATCCTAGCTGCAATTTGCACCTCTCCTTTGAGCGAGGGTAAAACAGAGCTCAGACAAACATCTCTCCCTTACTGTATATCGATTTATTTGGAGCTAAAGGTGGGGCGTTGAGATAAAAAATTGTTTTGCGAATTGAGTTCCCAGATTTTTCTGCGCTTTCAATCCCCTTTTCTCAGTCCTTTCAAAAGATTAAGCTCTATTCTGGGAAGGAAAAGAAAATATCACACAATAGAAACAAGATGTTAATTTGCTGTTAATTCAAGTCTTTGAAGGATGAGTTTTTGACAGCATCAGTATTCCACTTTTGTTTTGGAATCTAATTAGTCGGCTAGATTAGAGCTTTCATGCTCAACTTGTCTGAGAGAATCACGGTGGAACACAAACAGTGTTTCCTTAGAGGAGAGATCAAACTATATTAGCAGCTCATTTACTCATCGAGCACTGATGCAAAAACCACACTGCTAAACCGCTCATTACAAGTTTAGTTCTCACTGTTGCATAGTATAGACATGTATTCAGCTGTCGGTATCCACCGGCTCACTTTCTTCTCCTCTTTTCCCTTCTCCCCCTCGCCTCTCTTTCTTTCTCCAGTTGCTTCAGCAAGCAGCCTCCTCTGGTAACCTAGGAGCCTTCAGCGGGATCCAGCAGATGGCCGGTGAGTCAAAAATCAGTCGATAGACTCACAGATCTACCACGGCAGTGGACTCTTTGTTGCGCCTCTCTGTTTTTTTTTCCCACAGACTTCTAAAACAGGACCAAAGAGCATAACAGATGAACTCGCGTGGTGGAGTTAAGAGAGATCTTTGCCCTGAAGATTTATTAACTGTTGCTAAGATTTGTCTTGATCTTTTAATGAGGCCAGACAAGAGTTGTGCCCTGGGCGTGTAACAGTAGCACTGAGGCTTTGTCGGGGATGGATGAATCACAGAACGGAGGAAAGAGAAAGAAAAAGGAGCACAGAAAATGGTTAAAAGTGGGCACCTTTGGTGGATTTGTTGCACTGCAGGCTGGCGCCATCTACTGCTCTCTTCCTGTGGAGGGCCTCTGATCTATCATCTTCACTTCCATACTTTCTTTCATGAGTATCTGCAGGTTCAAAGCAAAGTTAAGCCTTTTGTTCACTCTAAAGGAATTGAGCTTAGGGAAGACACTACAAGGGAGCAGGCTGAAATTTTTTACCTAGTAGATGTCGCTGCAAAACTTGGCTTCGTTTTGGAAAAATATTTTATGTATTACACATTTTCTGGTTTAAATATGAAAATGATTCATTATCTAAATATGTGCCAGCTTACATACTTTTCCAGAACAGAAATTTAAAGACTAGATAAAGCCAGGTTAAAAATGTACTCTTTAATTTAGTTACTGTCCAAAGGCTTTTTTTTCCTCCCAGCAGCAAGAAAAAAATACATTTTGGGAATAAAATCTTGTATAAATGAGGCTCCGAATCACATTTGAGTAAGAATTTCCATAAAAATATGCAGCATATAATCAGAAAGTTTCATTGATGTAAGTGCTAGTGGATTTAATGTAAATTTGCATGATATATATTACAAATTATTGGCGACCTAGAGGATTTTTACAAGCCTGTATCACTTGAAACTTTCACAGCTGGTTACTTACATGTAGACAATTATTTCTGCGTCTGAACTTTACTGAAAAATTATTTTTAAATGTATAAATTAAATATTACATGCCTACATATGTGCTGAATTGCATACTTTTCTTGAATAGAAATTCAAATATTGAATAGTTCACCAAAAGTCAAATATTTTAACAGAAGTGATTCTGTCAAAAAAGATTTTTTATCACTTCATAAAACAAAAAACACTCAGTCAGAGAAGGTCAATCTTTTTAATCATTCTTAGCAATAAAACCTCAGTAATACTTGGCTGTGAATGTTGGATCCTAGTATTTATGGGGAGAAATGTAAACCTATATTATTAACTTACATTAACACAAATATTTTCCATGTTGCAACCGGTCTGACATTTGTATGTTTATGTTTTTATGCAAATCAGGCATTTACCCATATAAATATGTGCCTGTTTGCATTTTTTTTCTCAAAACAGAAATTTGAACAGTGCATGAAGTGGAAATACCTTGAACGGCAAATGTCTTTTACTCCCAGCAGACAGAAAAAAGTACATTTTTGGCATGTTTTTGAGTAAAGTGCTCTATAAATGAGGCCCTGAATGACCTATAAGCAGCATAGCATAATTAAACTTCCTCAATAGTTTCCTTACATTAACACAAATATTTTCCATGTTGCAAGCATTCTGAAATTTTATGTTTAAATCTGCAAATTAGTCAATTATCTACCTAAATATGCGCAAATTTCTCCAGACCAGAAAACCGAACTTCAGATAAAACCTGGAAATCTGCTAGAAATAATCAAACATTTTGATTTTATTGGATACTCTAAACATCAGAGATGTTAGGTAGATGTTAGGCTTAAAGTATGTAAAACTATAATTTTTAATATTTTAGTGTTATTATTTTTAGTATTTACAGGGAGAAATTTTCATTATCGGGAAACTTCCCCAGGTGCTGACTTACATTTGGACAGTTACATGCACATGAGGCATTATCTCATTAAATATGCACTAATCTGCATAATCCTTCAATAGACAAAGCGTAGTCAAATAACAGCCAGTGAAGGTTTTTTCAACACGTGAAGACAGGAAATGAAGCGGTATGGGACAGTAATTCTCCTAAGTGAAGCTGCAGCAATAAAAAATGCATATTGTATTAACCCAGTTCTGTATTAATCTAAGCCTTGAGCTCGCCAAGAAGCTCTGCTATTAAATGTTGAACAAGATAAAATCTCTGTATTTAAGAAATATAATTTTTAGGGCTTTAAAATTTGGGTTATTTAAGACTTTCAGGCACTCGTGGATACTCATCATCTCAACTTTCTTCTCTCTTTCCATTAAACTCGTCTCCTCTTTCTTGCTTTTTTATTTTAAGCCTCCTTTTTGCAGATTCTCCCCCACCTCCCACCCTCCTCACTCACAGTTTCTTCATCTCCCCTTTACGCCTCCCTCCAGCCTTCGCACTCCGACTGTTCTGCCCTCCTTTGGTTCGCTTTCTTCGCGAGGTGTCAGCTTTTAATTGTATGTTGTTTAGCGCGCATAAAGAAACTGCCAAAGGATCCGAGCGTGATAAGACTTTTTTAAAGTGGCGAGCCCCGTCTTGTCTCCTCTCGTGTTCTGTCACGTTCCCCTGAGTTGCAGTGCCTCGCAGTTTCCCCGCAGCTGTTTAAATTTTTCTGCCGTTGGGCTCAAACATACATTTTCCTTTCGAATATACACTCACGCTGACAAACAGGCTTTAGGATTTGGAGCGGCGAGTGAGTAACGGTGTCTGAATCTGGAGATCTGTTGGTCCTCCATCTGCGATGCGTAGCGCGAGAAGGGAGAGGGAGCGAGTATTAGTGATTGGCAGGAGATGTGAGACAGCTGAATGACATCTGGTCCCAGTCTTTAACACGAGGAGCTGCAGAGCTGAGAGGCTTCAATTACACCAATGAGCATTCAATTAGATGCAGCCAACGGCAGCCTGGTGCAGGCCGGCGCTGCCATACAAGCTGCAGGGAGCGCACACGCACACACATGCATCCCTGCACACATATGTACTCACACACTCGCGAACCATCTGGCCGGCCCTGAAACCCCGGCCCCAATGTGGAAAATAGAATGAATTTGTCTCATACGATCTCTCTTTCTTTGTCTCCGCTTTATTCCTCTCTAGCCCAGTTATTTTTTATCTCTTGGCCTGCTCCTTTTCTCTCATAACTGGCTTGAAAATAAATGCTGGTTCAATGAGGGTGACTGTCTTCGACAAATGCAAGTAAGAATGGGTGTAGAAAAGAAGAAAAAAGGCAGAAAAGAGGTTGCAATGAGTGCAAAAGATAGAGACAAAAGAGAGAAAAGAAAGGCTGGAAAAATGGACCAGGAAAAGGGTTGGTGGGAAATGAGGTACTGAAAAGCTAAAAATGTAGACGAGGGAGGAAAAGGCCAGTACGAAAATTGGGAAGTAGGGAAAAGGAAGATAAGAAATGGGCAAGTAGGGAAAGATAGATGAAGGGGTCAGGATATAGGAAAGAAGGGAGAGCAATGAAGCAGAGAAGGGAAAGGAAAATGTAAAGCAAGAATAGGGAGGAAATTAAAAAGCAAGGAAAGTAGGAAATGAAAGCGAGGAAAAGAAGAGGGAATAAAAGGAAAAAATGTGGAAAAGATGAGGAAATGAAAGAATAAGAAAATGAAAGTTAAAGAAGCAGAAACATACATAAGAACCAAAGTAGAGAAGAAGAAAGTAAATCAAGGGCAGAAAAAGGAAAATGACAATGATGGAAAGATGAGGAAAGAAAAAAGTGGAAAGGAAAGGAGGAAACAAACGAAGGTGGGGGGAAAAAGCGCAGCGAAGGTAAAAGTGAAGTGATTCTCTACAATGACCATTTATTAGCATTGTAAACACACTCGAGCGTGTTTGTGGATCTCTGCCTCACACATAGAGAAGGAGGAGGTCTGCAAAATAAAAACATACTTTCGATTATAATAAAGAGGTATGAATGAGAGCTCTTGTAAACAGCCTTCCCTCTGTGTTACCTGCTCCGTGGAGTCAGAAATGAGATCTAGCAGCAGCGCTGAAACCACATATCTCCTTGCTCATGTGGCGCATTGTCTGCCTTATCTGGAAAAACAACACTGTTTGAATTAGGCTGGAGCGTGCGTTTCATGGGATGCGATAGAAAGAGCGGCGGCGGTTTTTATCCCCACCTTTGCGCAGAAGTAGAAATCCATTTCGGGTTGTGATGTACGACGGAAAATTGGAGAAAATCGCTTTGCAAACGAGATTGGTTTTGGCTTCGGTGTAAGTAAGCGCAGATGAGTGGGGGAAAAACTCAGATGCGTGCAGAGGCACACTCGCGCGCTTGGTGTCTTTAGCTTTGTTTACACACACACAACACACACACTTCCTGCTGCAGCACCTCGATATCTGTCGTCATTGGCTGCGTTCAATTTGACTGTCTGGGTGAAGGATATCTTTGTAGAACCTCTAAGCATTCACCACGGTGTCAAACAAGATGGATTTTCTTCATGGTGTCTTGTTCGTGTGTGTCTTATTTGTATCCGTGTGCAAGAGTGTGTGTGTGTGTGCGTGTAATCTCATGGTACGGTATATACACGCAAACTGTATATACGACGCATACACCTCACATTGACAGTGTCCACCCTTTTAACACGAGGCAGAGGAAGCATCTCTGTGGTAAGACCTTTACTTTCTGCTCTGATGACTGTTTGCTTTCGGAGGTTTTGTACTCACACACACTCACACTAACACACACACACTCGCGTATTTGTGGAGTGAGGTGAAAGGTTGAGTTGTGCTCACAGACAGTGTTTTATAGCCTCTGCTTCGCCATCATTTAGGCGTTGGCACATAGGCATTAATTATGCTTAAGTACAGGCCGTATGCTTAATGCCAGAAAGAAGATTAACAATGAGGAGAGTTCAGCCTTCAGGGGTCCCTGAAATAGAGGGTGACTGCTGAAAGGGAGAGGGCTTTAATATTTAGTTTAAAGGGGAAGGCTTCAATCATTTGGCATCACATAGGGGCCAGCCGTAGACTGCATAATGTCCAGGTACTCTAAACGGTCATTGTTTGTAATAGCCAGCAGGGAGTGACTCATCTAGTAAAGTCTAATGGAAACTTACTTCTCATTCGATTTATGATCTCAGTAAATACTTTCCGCTGGAATTTATGGCCTCAATCAGTAGTTTTAACGCCACAGTCACATTAGGGAAAATAGGGGTTGCATGACCAAAATTATTGGGACAGTATGTCATGAACTTGAAGTTTTATTGCCTCTGAAATGGTGCCTTCAAAGAAGCAGACCAAGCCTTGGCAGCACTCGCAGCCAGGTGCCATCCTCCAAGCGACTTTGGTGCATCAGGACGGCGATAAAGCAGAAACAAGACGGACTCTGTCTGCTTTGAATTAGGTCGAGTTGACAATTAAAATTGCAATCTTGCCACTTGCATTCAGAGAAAGTCACATTAACTACTGAGCCTTGGAGAAACAGAAATGGTTCCAGATATAGTGACGTAGTTGCTCAAGGACGGTGATTCAACTGCGCGATGACGTAGGCGCTCAGTAACCTTACCTTAAGAGTCCACTACTGCAAAAAAAATATATATATTGCAGGCAAGTTGCACAGACTGACTCAGATTGATTGCAACATGTTGACGATCGGCTATATTAGATGACAGTTATTTCCACACCTTTAAAGTGAATGCAGTCAGTTCAATCAGACCATGATCATTTGGAGACCAGTTACCTCCCACCAGAGGGTGAGGATGTTGCACATCTGGGCGACCAGTTGATTCCAACAACTGCTTGAACTCAGTCACCAAATTCCCAGATTTTCCGTAGCCGCAGTGAGTTTGCGGTCCTCATTTTTCCCTCTACTGTGACTGAGCCGTAAGTCAAATTTAATAAAACATGATGATAATTTTCTCAATTCTGGTCCCACTCTTAGTTACAGTGAATATAAAATAAAGCAGGGGCTTCTTTTCATTGACAGTATAAGCATAAGAGTATAAGCAACGTGTCTCCTCTTGTTTTCTACTTCTTAACCCTCCTGAGACCCTCACACATCCTCACACGGGGTCATTATATTTATGCTTTTCTATAAATTCGAAGTGTTTTGTACCTTGTGACAATGATGAATTTATAATGTACCATAAACCCACTGTCCCCATGCAAGGTTGTACTTTTTAAACATTATTTGAAAGACGATGGTCCACCTAATCCCAAATAGCTCGGAAAAATTAAAAATAGGTCCCAACAAGAGCTCCAGCCTCAGGAGGATGATGGGACTTCATCCAGATTTTTATATTTGAAGTCTCTGAGCCCAGCTGATATGAATACACCCATATGTTTAGTCTTTCTTTGGCCCTTAACTCAATTCAGTGTCATGTTTACTAATTTACTTAAAAACTGAACTTTTAGCTTTTAAGGATTCATTGACTCTCACATTAAGTGCCTATTTTGATCGTTTAAATGGCATTTTGGCAATTTGCTGGTGCAAAAATAGTTTTGTGTTCTGTTTTTTGCATAAACGTAAGAGTTTTATGGGCTTTTTCCACATCTGCACCTTGATACCTGCAAACTATCAAACAAACTGGTACAGGTTGACATCAGTCAACAAGGCCGATATAGGCCAGTTCCAATGTGTGGTGCCCTTTAGTTTCATCCTCTGAACTACAATATCATAAAAGCTCCCATCATTACCCTGTGATATAGATGTGATGGTCTTTGTTGAGCTGGCAGACATTTATTTATAGAAGCATGAGTTAGCTGAGCAGACTCGGAGCTCTTGTTGAATCTAAAGTGGTATAATTGGCTAAAAAGCCCATATAAGCACTGTAGGAAGGTTAGTTTCCTCCTGCATTGTCTGAGCCCTCTCCGCTGAGCTTTAATGCTTCTTGAATATAAAAAAATATATAACATTAACTAAATCGCTGAGATGATTTCTTCCTCCGGAGCAGCTCCGCCTCAGAGAAACGCGCCAAACCTAAAACACTGCAACAGCTGCTTTTTACTGATTCAGACACTTTGGGGACTTATTAGCAAAATCAGCTTCTGTAGTGTTTGCCTGCACACGCTACAGATTCTTCACAAAGACCTCAAATAAAGAGCATTTCAAGGTTTACATGTGCAGGATATCCACACACTCCACTGCTGTACACCTCCGGACGCCCAGCAGCTAACGTGTGTTCAGTGCTGTCCTCTGGTACGCTGTCCCGGTCCAGCCAGGCGACCCAGCCACGCCTCAGCCCCAGGTTTGACACCACCCTCTCTGGCTCCTCTCTCCAGGTATGAGTGCTCTGCAGTTGCAGAACCTGGCCACTTTAGCGGCGGCAGCGGCGGCGGCCCAAAACTCAGCCAGCCCCTCCACCGCAAACCCCCTGTCCTCCAACGCCGCCTCCCTGGGAGCGTTGGCCAGCCCAGGTAACGCCACAGCCACTCAGGTTGGGGGGTCCAGCGCCGGGGGAGGGTGGAGGGCCCGACGCCTGCCTGCGTCCTTCGCTCTCCATCGTTACCATTGCCACTGTTGTCGTCCCACGATCCCCGCCGCATCATCACCGACACCATTACTGCCGAAACATCCTCATTGTTTGGATCCCCGTCAGTGTTGTTGACCTTCTTTCTGGCACATTCCCATGGTGTGTGTGTGTATGTGTGTGTGTCCACATTCATATCAAGACAGACACCATGCTGTGTTACTCACCCGCTGCCTGCCTGCCTCACCTCCCTCACCATGTCGCCCCACAGCCATGCCATCCTGTGATACACATGCGCTGTCCATGGTGCGCGCGCATGTATGTGCGTTTTCGTGCTTAAGTGTTCCCGTCAGGTTTAGACCTATGTGTGTTTCTTCCGTCCTATTTTTGGTCGATTTCTTTGTTCATGCCTCACCTCACCAGCTCTGGAGACATTGTAGAAACTTTTTAGAGCAGCAGACTGGTTTTCTTTCCCAGCGGACGGCGTTTGTTTGTGTTGTTTCTGTGTTCATAGCTGTGGGTTTTAAAAACCTCCTGAACCCGGCTAAGGTTAAATATCATCACCTTCAGACTCCCCCCTCCTACCTCTTCTTCATTCTCACTCGCGCTGCCCCTCCTCCTCTCCTCTCCTCTCCTTGTGTTCCTTCTCGTTGCCCTCGTCTTTTCCTGCTGCCCCGCTTTTGACAAGCTCCCTGTTTCTGCTCCGTCATCCTCCCCTCTCATGTCGGCTCGGCCTCGCTCCAGCAGCCGTGGTTTTGCTGTCTCTTTTGGTGCGCACTCCCAACAGAGCATGAATATGAAAAACTACCCCCCGTCTCCTCCCTCGTTAACACTTGCGCCTCTTCATCCCACTTCCTGCCTTCACCGAGCTGATCTGCGCTTGGCGTGAACGCCCGTTCTCGTCTCGTTCTCGCCATACTTTTCACCTTCTCTCTTTTATTCCCGCCTGTGTCTCCCTCCTTCTTCTTCTTCTTCTTCTTCTCTCTCTCTCTCTCTGAATGTCAGTCCAACCTTGAATAGTACGCACTCAGGCTGAGCCGCTCTTTGTGAATGAGTGGCGGCATATACTGCATGAAACTGAAAACGTCACGCCAGTTTTGATAAATATAGACAGTTCTGCATGGAGACAGGCCGTGTGCTGACATTACGCTTCCTTTTACCGCAACATTTCTTAACGTGTTCAGCCGCAGTCCTGCTTTGTTGGCATCGCTTTCATGAAAACAAGGGTAAATTAATACTTTTTTAAGAAATTGTTTTTGTTCTAAGCAGAATGAGATCGAAGGCTTTGTGCACCACATTTCCCTACCCACCCCATCCTACCTGTCCACCAGTTTGTCCACACATTTGCCATCACTGCGTGTTCAGGTGTATGTGTGCGTGAGTTTGCGTCCAGCTGTGGTCTATTCATCCATCGCCCGTTGGCTGTTTTTGTGTGTTTCAGTTGATTTAAAATAAAACCAGGGAAAAGTCATTTAATTATAGTCCACATTTCTGAGGTTTGACTGTTATATGCATTCTGTGCATATCTGTGCTTCTTTGGATTGTCCTTATGTTTATGTAATGCTCTTACAGCATTACCTCGATTGCAGCAATCCTGCAGTATACTTGCTTTGGTGCACAACATACCATGCAGAATTCTGTTATCATCTCCATACACTTCTATAGATTAATATATTTAAGGTCAAGGTGCCACTGCTTGTTTGGTAAAGGTTAATTAAAGGTGCCACTTGTAGCATGTTTAAGCATCAGTATAGCATCAGATCAAACACTCATAAAGGAACGGTGCAACTATGAGGAGAATTGGTTTTATTAAGATCTTTTCTGCCTTGAACCGTGGTGCTTCTTGTCAGAGAGATGCTCCCTTTTCTCCATTCACACCGGCTGAACTCAAGAGATAAACAAATTGTGAAGTGATTTCTCCATCAGCCTCTCGGCATTCATCGTCGCCACGAGCTCACAAAGCTTTTTTCTCTTTGCCCGTTGAAGAAAGGAGTCTTGGTCTCAAATTGAGAAAAAAAAATATGCACAGAAACATCTGCAAACCTGCATTTGCAAGAATAAGTTAGTCATATTAATTCCTCTAAAAGACAGAAGAAGAAAAAAACGAAGGACAATCAAGCCACAGCTCCTTCCTCGTCACTGATTTGCATTACATGAAGGTGCCTCCTTGTCAGTTCCTACTGCTAGCAAAAAGCTGCAGTGTAGAGAACGCACTGTGAAGGAGCTGAAGCCAAGTTTTAATATGCTGTCAAAGCAGGAAATTGAGCCCTTCAGGAGACACTACAGCACGAGGAGCCCGACATGTCTAACAAGCATTCTGTCCTGGCAAGTCCAATTTCCAAATGTTAGTTTTAGGTTATTGTAGTTTTTTAGTTAGACTAAAGAATTTCAGCAGCTTCTTCAGCCCCAGGTTGCACATTGTGGGGCAAAACGTTTTTCTCTCAAGTGGGGTTCAAATTAAAGCTTTGTTTTAGAAGTTTGGTTCATCGCTCACTCACACACACACATTACCTGCTGATAATGCAACTTCTGCATGCGTGTCCATTTCACGTTTTTTGGGAGAGACAAAGCCTGAACTGGACAGCATTTTTAGTCTCTTGATGCCAAACCAGTGCCTGTTTTTTTTGTTGTTGTTTTTTACCTTTTACTCTATGTAGTTCATGTCTAGAAGTAGTAAATGTTTAGGCTCAGTAATGACCGATTATTGTGATTCAGCTTGCCACCAAGTTTCAAGAAACTGAAGCGTGCAGCCATTAAAGAGATGAACTTACAGGAAGTAATCTGAGCCAGCTCCCTTTGGTCTGTGTAGCACATCTCTTTCCAAATTCTTTGTCATCACTGTCTGTGATAAATGCACCAAAAGCTGATGCTAATTTGCTACAATGGAGCACTTACTGTTTGCTTTAAATGAAGATCAAGCTATGCAAAAGCCTGAACCTCTACACAAGGAACCTTGTTGCTTTGTTTTCTATATGTTTATGTAACATGTCCACTTCTTTTGTCTCCTATTCTCCCTCTTCACCTCTGTCCTTATCCCTCCTCCTCCTCCTTCTCCTCCTCCTCTTCCCCCAGCAGCGGGCACCACAGCCAGCTCCAACGCTGGCGCCATGAACTCTCTGACCTCTCTGGGCACCCTGCAGGGCCTGGCAGGAGCAACTGTGGGCCTGAACAACATTAATGCACTAGCAGGTAGCGTTAACAGTGAGTATTCACCCTGCCATCAGCCACTCCACCTCCACCTCTGATCATACACAACCAACGGCGACATCACAACCGCAAAGCCTGTGAGTCAGTGCAGAGAGACGTAGCCGCAGCTGTCGGGGGGGTTGACTCAAATGGGGTTTCTGATGACTTTGAATGATTCACTTGTACGTTAAACAAACTCTGCATTTAAATCTGCTGGAACCAAGAATGTGCAGATTTGGTAGTAGGAGTAAAATGCATGCCAAAGAAAATCAATATTTAATCTCATTGAACGAAGAACGAGTATATCAAAAATCCATACGTTTGTCCAACTCTAATGCGAACGGCTATTCCTAAGTATACAAATATCAGAAATGTTGAAACTGACTATCACCATGCATCACTTGGCTTTCTTCTGAAACAGAAAAAAGACAGCGTGATGCTTCGGTATTCCCGCTTTTGCTAAAATTCCCAGAGTTTGGTTCCTCCCGTCGTCTCTCTGTGTCTCAGTTTGACTTAAAAAATAAATGGTTGTTCCTCTTTTAAAGACGGCTACTGCATAAAATCACCTGCCAACACATATTTCATCCATTCCTCCACTCATCTCTTCATCCGCTTCCTGGTTGTGTCCCGGGTTGTGCTTGCTGTAAGAGTGCCGGTGTGCCATCCTGGCGTAGTTGGCGTGCTGCTCGTTGCCTAACAAAGGCTGTCGCTGTGTCATCGTTTCACATCGTGTTGGATTTGTTGTGTCACTGTTGTGTTTTCTGTTGTTTCCGCAAAGCGGTTTGGACAAGTTGCACGAGGGGCTAAAGGCCAAAATTGTAATTCTTCCTTTGGTTAGCTGCCAATTTCACATTTACTGTTATGTAAATGTTGTAATTGTACCCTCACAATGCAGTTCTATCAATTTTCCTGGCTGGTAAATACAAATCTTTTCAATTTCATGCCAAAAATATAAAAGGTAGATGTGTTGTGTTAGAATTTAACACAAAACAAACTCAAATTTGATCATTTAAATGTCAAAAGGAGAAACCGCAATTTTTTTCAGGCTGCTGTCACGCTAGGAAATACAATATTTGATCATTTTGTTGCACAAGAGGGCCCAAAAAGGCTGTTTTTGTCCCAATAATAAAAGCTAAATAAGACTCTCTTTTTTTTTTTCTTTCTTCGAAGTAAAAAAGAAATAGTCTAATTTGCTGTCAAAGCATTAACACAGCTGGGTGGTTCATTAATCCATTTTAAGTTTAAGCGAGTCACACACATGTTTCTTTCCACATGTGGATCGTATCGACCGCACGGCCGCCCTGTGTGGCGTTCTGGCATCTGCCGAGCCGTGTGGTGCGCGTCCTGCCTTTGACATCCGGGGAGACGGGGCTGGGATCTTAATCAGAGCTGTTATGACAGCAGAGATCCTGTACAACCAGCCTCTTCCACCACATTATTCTCCCCTGACCTTTACCGCTCTTCGGTTCGACTAGCTGTGTCCGCTGTGTAAATTATATATGCGTCTACTCGAGCGCACCCAGGTACAAAAACACAGAACATGTCTAAACACACACACACACACACACGTGCTCGTCCTTCTGAGCCGAATGGGTCGCTTTCATTTTGCATCCCATTTTGTCCTCACTAACCCTTCTCTCCTCTTAGCGCATCCTTCCTCCCACTCACCCACCCACCACCAACAACCGCCCTCATTTAAACACATCTAGGCCTTAATTGAATTGCAAAGGTCACTGGTGCAATTATTCCTGAATAAATGAGTGACCTATAATCCAGAGCGCCGCGGTGATAATTTATTTCACTGTGTCTGACGGCGAGGCGACAGGACGCCGAGCCAGTGTCAGACCCCCTCTGACAAGTTGCCCTCCGTTGTGATATTAAGCCGTTACATGCAGCTAATGAGTGTTACTGCTGTGTTCCTTCACTTTTTAAAATCGCCACGCTCCCCTCCCCTCCCCGCCTACCCTTTACGCGCCGCGTGCCTGTCTTCACCCCTAAAGAGAGCCGTCACGGGCAGGAAAAGCACACATGATCGCACCCCAGTATTTGTTTAACAACGCCACTTTGAATGAAGCGAAAGATAATTTTTCATCTTCTTTTTATTTTATTTATTTATTTTTGTCGTTCCGTCGACGCTGCTGTGGTCTCCGAGTGTGTTTCTGTGTGTGCGCATGCAGCGCTGCATGCTTTTTACTCCGAGATACCCGTGCAGCTCTGGCTGTCATCAGCTTCCTTCATACTTTAACGTGTTTAAATGAATCCTCTGTGTGTGTCCTGTGCTTGTATGTGTTCGTCCTTTGTGTTTTCTTGTCACACGGTTGGTCCTCTGTTTGTTTGTGCGTGTGTGTGCGTGCGTGTCGATGTGAGTGCAATTTACAGTATGGTCCAGCGTAGCTGTCGGTGTTTGTGTGTTGTGTGTCTCGTGTCCTGTATGTTCTTGTGGGTGTGTGTGTGTGTATGTGTGGTTAAAAAACACAACCTTCAGTGGGAGCGCTAATGAGTAAGTGCACTCTTCTTTCTTTATTGTTGGGTTTTATGTAAAGTTGCTCAAATGCTCTCAGGTATGGCGGCTCTAAACGGAGGCCTGGGCGGCGCAGGGCTCACCAACGGGACGGCAGGCACCATGGACGCGCTGACGCAGGCTTACTCAGGGATCCAGCAGTACGCCGCCGCAGCGCTGCCCACCCTCTACAGCCAGTCCCTGCTGCAGCAGCAAGGGGCTGCCGGCAGCCAGAAAGAGGGTCAGTAGCCTAAGGCTGTATGTCTGCACATCAGTGCTGCTCAGTGGGAGTTAGATTTGAGAGTGTTTACAGCAGCAACTTTTTTCCCCTAAACGTGCGTCTCCTCCAGGATTTGCTCTTCAAAAAAGCAAACGGGCATTTAAACTCAGCGCTGAAATCACGAGTAGACTCTATAAAGTTATAGTGTTGTGGTGTAATGTCCTGATAAAATGTTAGTTTTTATCAAGTAATAAAAATCTGTGCTAAAAACATAAAAAATTGGCCTTTTAACTCTTTACCCCTTGAAAGTCTACTAGTTGTAGCCCTTGAAGCTCTTTTCTGAACTGAAAGGTTTCTGTCATAGTTCACGCCTGCTGATAGAACAAAGTGGCAGGGTTTGCATCAGATGTTAGTGGAGAAATCTGGAAACTATTCTCATCGTCGTCAAACCACGACTTTCTTGATACACTATGTTGCCAAACGTATTCGCTTGTCTGCCTTCACATCTCATTCTCAGCTCCAGCTTTTCTGGGAAGGCTTTCCGCAATGTTTGGGAGTGTTTGTGAGAATTTCTGACCATTCTTCAACAAGCACATTTGTGAGCTGTGTCGGGTTGAAGTCAGGACTTTGTGCAAGGCAGTCAAGTTCTTCCACACCTCCTTGCTCATCCATGTATTCGTAGACCTCGCTTTTGTGCACTGGTGCGCAGTCATGTTGGTCAACCCAAACTGTTCATACAAAGATGGGACATGAAATTGTCCCAAAATGTCTTGGTATGCTGAAGCATTAAGAGTTCATTTCACTGGAACTGAGAGGCTCAACTCCTTAAAAGCAATCCCACGCCATAATCGCCCCCAGACAAGTACCGTTCCCCTGGTAACCGCCAAACTTAGAGTCATCCATCATATTGTTAGACAGAGAGGTGTGATCTCAGGCTTGGATGCAGCTGCTCGGCCTTGGAAACCCATTCAATGAAGCTCTGTAAGCACCGTTCTTGAGCTGATCTGAAGACCACATGAAGTTTAGAGGTCTGTAGCGACTGACTCTGCGGAAAGTTGGCGACCTCTGTGCACCATCTGCCTCGTCATCTGCTGACCCCACTCTGTTATTTTACATGGTCTAGCACTTCATGGCTGAGTTGCTATCATTACCAATCACTTCCACTTTGTTTGACTTGTTGCATAGGTGTCATCTTATCATGGTACCATGCTGAGCTCCTGAGAGCGACCAATTCTTTCACAGGTGTTTGTAGAAGCCGTTTGGATGCCTAGTTGCTTGATTTTATGCACCTGTGGCCAGGGAGGGGAGTGGAACACCTGAATTCAGTCATTTGGATGAGTGACTGAATACCTTTGGCAACTTAGTGTATATTCTGAGGTTTGAAACTCATAATTGCAAAATAGTCAAATGTTGTCCTAACGTGGGCAAAGAGTTTAAAAAAATTACTTTTAAAACTAAACAACGTTTCAGTTCATAAAAAAGTTCATCCTCATCTCTTAAAACCAAATTCCTTGTTTTACAACTGGACCAAACCTATTTTTATGTCCTTTATTTCACTTATAATAACTCATTTCACATTGTTTTTGTAGCAAAAAAAAAAGGAGTGTTTAATCAGACCTCTCTTGGATTCTGATCAATACTTTTATTACAACGTCTGAGAGAGAAAATGTGAAAACTGGTCAGCCTGCACATCAGCGCTTCTGCAAAGTGCCGCCGACGTACAGAACCTGGCAGCTGAAGTTAAATTTACCCAAAAGCTTTAGACGACAGCGCTGAATACAAACCAGATGATGAAATGTCTAGTAAAACAAATAGAGCCACATACTGTTTGTTTGTGCACTTCTCATCTCGGCTTGCAGCGAAGATAAATTTGTAAAGAAGCTGTCTTTCTTTGACAGTCCATCCAGGAGTTCAAAACCCCTCAGGGAGAACAAAGATGTGCCAAACACTGGGCTCCCTCGCTGCTTCATTTAGCTGTGGAGAGCATATTAAATGATTCTGAGAGATCTGACCTATTAGAATTATTAGAATGTGCGATAGAGGCTGGGTAGGAGGGCACCCTATGACCCCTCTTAAGAGAGACTACATGCGGCTGAGAGAATGAATAAATCAAAAGCAAAAGAATAGGGAACTACTTTTGTTTGAAGCAAACCAAAATATAATTATTTAGCTGAAAACCAAAAGCTTTCATCTTTGTTGTATTTTCAATACAATTGCAGAATGCTGTTTAAATTCAATAACAAACCCAAGGTCATGGGACATTGTGGGAAGCGGCGTGCTTGTGCCGAGTTCCTATGACGACAGCCACAGTGCAGCGCTCCCTCTGCTGCAGGTTTGCTTAAATGGAAAAACTATACTGACCTCATATCTGCTCTGCATATCCCCCACCCCTCCTCCACCTCAGGTCCTGAAGGTGCCAACCTGTTCATCTACCACCTGCCCCAGGAGTTTGGAGACCAGGACATACTGCAGATGTTCATGCCTTTCGGAAATGTGGTCTCTGCCAAAGTCTTCATCGACAAACAGACAAACCTTAGCAAGTGCTTCGGTACGGCAGCAAAAACCAAAACGCACACAAATGCCTGGAATTATTTCTTTTTCTTGACTGTGTCATAAATCAGGGGCTGGGTTGTTGTTGAAGGGAACAAATCTGAAGGACGGCAAGTTCTGACTGTGCATAAAAGATGGACGTTGTATCAAAGTGCCTTATCTGCATTTCTTCTGATATCAGAAGGGACAGATTTCTTACTTAATACAACATGATGCTCATTTTCTAAATGATGGTCGCGTTTAGGGTTAAAAAAGGCCAGAAAAAAACACAATAAGCCACAGAGCAAGGCTACCTTGGAATTGGATCACATTTTAGTTTGTAAGCATAAAGAAAGCAATGAATAGATTGCCCACTTCAAGGCTTTAAAACAAGGTACAATGAGCTGGTCTGTAGCTACGTTGGTGGCTACAACCATCTTTTATGTACAGTCTGTCAGTGTACAACATGACTGTTGCACTCACATCTAATGTTTTGTTAGACTTTGAATAGCTGTAACTTCAATATTTAAGCAATAATTACAGAGCAATGATTTCTATAAGATCTTATCTGGCTGAGCAACGTACCTGAAAGAGCAAACAATTAGGAAACCTCGCGCTTATCAAAAATAGACAATTTATAAAGTTTTACCCAACTCTACCATCCTTCCCACATGACACAAATGTGGCAGGAGACACTTCTGCTAAAAATAGTGATGATTTCCGGCTCTCATAATCGGCTCATAAAGCCGAAAATGATCAAGTTTTCCACTGGGAGGTTGTCCTCCGATGGCCAGTTTCCAGAACATGTCTGAGCTATTACCAAGAACATTATTTTTTATTGGATCAGCCTTTATTTTTGTGGTGCTTTGCTTCAAGTACCAAAGAAAAGAGAAACATTCATGGCAAGGTTCTTCAGAAAGTTCCTGGAAGTTATTCATTTGGTACTTATTATTATAAGTCCTGACGTAACGCAGATGAATCGCCAACATACACTGCTGACAATTCAAGAGAAGAGCCATCCCACTAATACCTGAATTTACCTGGATTTGAATGAGTCTTAGTAATACTTTAATAGCTCTGTAAACTAAGTGCAAATTTGAGTTGCCGTCTCAAACCATTGTGTCTATCTTCTATAAGTAATTCATATTTACACAGTTATTTCCAGGGAACTTTAGAAGGAACTGTTAGGGAATTGCATGAAAAGCTTGACAAAGAAGAATTCAGTGCCTCCTTTCCATCTGGATTTACGTTTTCCTTACTGGTATGTTTTTGTGTGTGTGTTTTTTTTTTTAAATACTAGAGTAAATCCAGGGCAAATACCGTGTAGATTTGCATTTGTATGGAAATCAAAACCTAAATATTACACATATCCAATCCACAAGCAGCAACTAAGGAAAACAGAACTAAATCAAGCATGGATCCAGGAAAAAACTACCGTCTGGTACTTGTCAGAAAATGGTTTGCGGGGATGGATGTGAGACAAGCGAGACGAGGAGTTTACTGTCAGCTTCAGAGGTTGCAGATATTACAGGGGGAAGGGAAGCGTTAGCGTAAACAAAAATGACTTTTTGCAGAGAAGATAGAAAAATAAATCTTAGTATATACCACAGTCCGCACCAAAACCTTTAATTTTACTTTTTTAATCAAAAGTGGCCTTTGCCAAAATAAATCTGTGCTTTAATGCTACCTACAATCTGTTTGTTTGTTTGTTGCTGTAGTCTCTTATTATTTTGTTGATGCAACGAACGAACATGCCTTAGGCCATCATTACAGTTTAATCTTGTCTTATTGTGTACCAGGAGTGTTTTTAAACATATCAAAGACCCAGAAACAAGGTAAGGATGCCTTGTGAAGTATCAAGGCGACACTGTAGCTTTAAATTGATACCATAGATGCATCTAGTAAAAATCTCACACAAGTTAAAATCAGTGACATCGATCTCAAGGTCAGAGCAAGTTTTCTGAAAATCGAATGTGATAACTTGAGAACAAGGCGATGTAGGATTTATGCAGGTAAGATCACAGCAACAGTTGCCTCAAGGCAACTGACACTGTAAGGAAAAGACCCTACAACATTAGGTAGAAACCCCAACAATCAGATGACTACTTTTAAACAAAGAGTTGGTGACAATGGGAAGGAAAAACTCCCTTTTAACAGGAAGAAACCGAGCACACAACCAGGTTCAGGGAGGGGCAGCCTTCTGCCATGGCCGGTTGGGGATGAAGTAGGCCAATGTTAGGCTGCCTGAAAGTCTGACTCAATAATGTTTTAAAAGCCTTCTTGTTGTTATTTTAATACAGTTTCTTCACAACTGACCTTCTTCTAACTTTTCCTCTAACCGTCCACTTTTCTCTTGCGCCCCCTCACAGGCTTCGTCAGCTACGACAATCCAGTGTCGGCACAGGCAGCCATCCAGGCCATGAACGGCTTCCAGATTGGCATGAAGCGGCTGAAGGTGCAGCTGAAGCGCTCCAAGAACGACAGCAAACCGTACTGATCTTAGCACTAGGGTCTATCTGCTCCCCATGTTAGCACTGCTAGGGTAAGTCCCCCCACAGAAAAAAACAACAAAAATGATGAAAATGAAAAAAAAAACAGCAAACCGAGCCACGACCTCTCTACACAGGGACTCGGGGGTGAGGGTTCAAGGGAGGGGATGTGGGAGGGAGGGGGAGACGACCTACAACCACCCTGAGGGAGACACACGCCTTGTTTTCTTTCTTTTTTTTTTCCTTCTTTTTTTTTCTTGCTTTTTTGGAGACTCTTATGTTCAAGTATTATTATTTATTACAGTTTTTTTTTGACACACATGAACGCTTCCATTACCACCATTACTTTGTGCAATTTTTTCTTTCTTTTTTTTAATAATAATGGAAGAAAGTAGCTTTTTTTTCCGATTTTTTGCTTCGCAGGTATTTAAAACTTTTCTCGGTGATTATTTATACTTTTTTTCAGGACAGACGTAAAGACAAAGGAGCCATGAAGATTTTTTTATTTCCTCTCTCTCATTATGAACCTGAGGCCTGGTGAATGGTTCATTATTACTTTTTTTTCTTTTTTTTTACTACTTTTTAAAAAAAAAATTTTGACGCGCACGCCGATATGCACATTCGACCTTTGACCTCCGCGGTGTTGGTTGCAGGCCGCCGCTGCTTCTCCAAAAACCCCTCTACGCCTGCTGGCAACCCGGGAGCAAAGGCTGCAAAACTTTTAGTGGCCTCTTTTACAGTATAGTCAGTGGTAACATCAACCTGCCGTACAGTTACAGTCTACCGCCGCAGGAAGGAAAACAAACACGCATACTCCAGCTTTTATTTATGTGAAAATTTAAAAAAAAGAAGAATTTTTTTATTTCTCAAAGGTAAAAATGAATAATTAGTAAACACATTTCTGGGTCAGATCACATTGGTCTTTGTTGTGAAAGAGATATTACAGCATGTAGAGCATTTTCAAAATAACATCCAGAATTTGATGAAGGCTATGACAATGCTATTACTACTACTAATAATAAAAGAGTTTATGGGTTAAGGGGGTAAACTGAAAATACTTGATGTTTGTTTGAAAGATTAAAAAAAATAATTCAAAGTACAGAAAGCCACAGGCCTGTAAATTTTATTTGTAAAAAAAGCAGTTCTATTTTTATACAGCATTTTTACTGCCTCAGATTTAAAAGAAAAAGGATTTTATTTATTGCCTATCGTTAAGTTATTGGACTCCTATAAAGTATACAGCATCATTATAAAGTAGACCCTTGTGGAGAAGTCTCGTGGAATTGGGTTCTCTGGTGTTTTTTTGGTGTTTTTTTTTAGTGCAGAAAACCACAGTCACCAAAACATTTCGCCGCCATTCGACGCCCCTCCCACCAGCACCACCACCACCACACTCCTCTCTGTGCTGTTCACCCACCCACCCATCTATCCATCCATCTCTCTCTCTTATTACCACTCTCTCCCTCTCTCCATCCATAGTGGGACTACTTCTTTCACTTGTCGAATTTCAACCTTTTTCCTTGCGTTTTTTTTTTAAATTTCATAATTTTTTTGTTTGTTTTGAGTGGTTTTTTTGTTTGTTTTGAGTGGTTTTTTGTTTGTTCGTAGCCCCTCCTTTACCTGCCGACTTTTACAAAGATCTGAAAGCAGAAAGGAACGAGTTAAAAGAACCTCCCCACCCGTTCCCCGTCTTAAAAAAAAAAAATTCTCCCAAATGAACATCCATCCGGGATCTGATGGATAGCGCTTTGGGTGCTCCTTTGTTTATTTCTTGTTGTTTTTTGTGTGTGCGCGTACGTACGAATGAGTGAACGTGTGTTGTTGCTTGTTAGTATATAGACTTGAAACATCAATATCATTTTATATTACTAAAAAAACCCAAGAAAAAACAGATTTAAAGCTAAAATATTTGCAGATGAAATCAGTGAGTGGTGTTGCTGTTCTGCTGTTTTGCATTGTTGTTCGTTTGTTGTTGTTTGCTGTTTGTTGTTGTTGTTTCTCCTTTATTTAATTATTTTTCATTTTATTTTATTTTTTTACATAAAAAAAGAAATGCTGTAGTGGTGTGGTGCTCTGGCTCTCTGTGTGTAACTCTCTCCTCTCCCGTTTTTTCTTTCCCCCTTTTAGAACAACCCATCTCCATGCCTGTTAGCTCATCGTTTGCCTAGCATGTCTCCGTGGTGTCGAAAAAAACACAAAACTTTAAACAAAAACAAACAAACAAAAAATACCCACCAAAAAAAAAGTGCCATCGTCCTCCTCCTCCTCCCCCGTCATTGTTTTTTCTGATGTCTTTTCCGAGCTCACCTGATCATAACCTGGTTCTCCTCCTCCTCCGCCACCGCCGTCTACTGACCTTTTTTGAACTTTTAGCTTTTTTGGACTTTTTTTTTTGTTTGCTTTTTGGTCTTTTTATGTTTTTTTGTTGTTTTGTTTTTGGTTGTTGTTTTTTTTTTTGTTTTTTTGCATGTGACCTCATTTGGATCTGTTTTCCGGGAGGGTTTCAGGGAGGGAGGGAGGCGATAAGGGAGGTGTGGGTAAATGAATCAATGTGAACAACAACAAGCTGCATTCGTATGAAAAACAACAAAAAAAAAAGACTGAGATTTTTATGGATAAAAAATGTTCCTTTTTTTCTTTTTGAGAAAAAACAACAACCTGTGGCAAAGTGATTTCCATACAGTGTCTTTTTCTTTTGTTTCTTCTTCTTTTCTTCTTTATTGTTGTTATTATTATGTCAGTTCCTTTTCCTTCCTTCTTCATTTAAAGTAAACTTGAAAGTTCACAACAGGAATTGGCGCGTCTTCTTGCTTCTGGTGCCGATGGAGAGGAGAAAAAAAAAACACACAAAAAACACACACAAAAAAAGCCACAAGAGCGCGGGCCAGAAGCAGTCGGCGTCAGTTTCTCTGAGAAATAAGACTACTTCCAAACAGTTTTGAATAAAAACTGTCTGATCAATATTAGACTCTCTCAGAGCTCTCTAATGGTTTTTACATTTTTCAGGCAGTGTAAAGTTTTTTGATAAGGCCATTTTAAGTGGCTCTGTTTCTCATTCAAAGTCTATATATAGAACCACTTTTTTCTAGAGTAGTTTAAAGGTAAAAATAAAAAAACGACATTTGCCCTGTTTGGGGGGGAGAAATGCTACCTACTTGTGTCACCTTTTGCTGAACTGACTCACAGATAGACAATCCGTGGTTTAAATGCACATGATGAAATGACCTATATTTTCTACTGTTTAAATGTATAGAGGAAAAAAAATACTACGATACCTGTAACCCGCGTTAACGTCGGTGCTTCTCGTGAGTTTAGTTGTGGTTTCATCACAAGTCTAACGGTCTTAAATGTCTCATGTTTTTCAAGAGAAGACTAAAAAAAATCAGTTTACTTGAACAATAGACAAAGCCTTTCATATTACTATAACAGTTACTTTGTTTTTTATTATAATTTTCTTCTTCTTTTTTTTAAGGAGTCCCTATTTGCTAAATTTCCTGTTGGTTAATTACCTATATGAAATTCCTAAAAATATATATAAATATAAATATATCTATATATATATATATATATATAAAATGTCAGCTTGTGAAGCATCAATGTCATTATTATTTTATTTCTCTCGTGGGAAACAATATTTAGATGTGTTTTTGTTGTTCAGCAAAATGTCTTATAAAGGAAAAAAAGACAAAATCAGTGGAGTTCAGTGCCAAATTCTGAAAGGTACTTCCTGCCTAGCGCGTCAGTGTATTTCTTGTGAAATTATTTGATAACATGGGTATTTTATTATAAGTGTTTTGTATGGATCCCTCATATTTAAAAATATAGATTTAAAAAAAAAGTTTGTTAACTTGCTATTCTGTGGTCTTGTTGCCTGAAAATGTCATGTTTGCTTTTTTCTTTGTAAAGATGTAACAAAAAAAAAACAAAAAAAGAAAAAAAGTGCCCATGTGTCATATATATATCTATACACACACAAACATTCATACACACACGGACATGCGCACACACACTCTCGTGCAGACCTCACAGTTTACTTTGTTATTGTGCATGAGAGCCCCTGAGTGTGAAAGCCTCTACAGCAACCGCTACCGCCCGCCAGCGTGCACAAACACACACACACACACTTTAAAAACACACACACGAGTCACGCACTGATATTTTTAGCCATTGTACAGCAGTTTTACTCATCAAAGCCTTACCACAAATCTTTGCACTCCTGTTCTATCTCTCTCTATCAGTATCTCGCACACAAACACAGACGTCAGGCTTCAGCGTGGATTGTTTTGATTGTTTTCCCGCGCTCCGTCCCGCTCCTCAGCTCCCCCCAAAAATGATAAATAAATAAATAAAAATGGAGGTGAGAGTCATACACAAAGCCTTATTTCTCAAGAACCCTCTTATCCCTTTTGTTGAGTTCAGAACGTCTCAGAGTTTGCGCCGTTTGTCTCAGACGGCGAGGATCATTACTTTTTGTGTATCACCTCAGACGAGCGTGCTCGCTTTCATGATGTAAGCACAGGGCAAGACTCGCTTGTTCACAAACGAGCTTCGATCTTTTGAGGAAAAAGCACACGCCGGTGTCGGCTGGTCAGAGGAGTGAGGCGGGACGGGTCCGGAGCAAGTTTTGAGCCCATTTGATTTCCCCGTCGCCGAACTTGATCCTTCTGACGTTTCCTCCTCTTCTTTTTTATATAAGCGGTCATGAGACTTCTCCATGTGCGAGTCTTGTGGTGTAAACGGGCCAAAATCATTATTAGATGCCAAAGTGTGTTATTGACATTCATCATAGTCGAGCCGTTTACATGGCACAGTGTTGTCAGTCGATTCAACTGCCCCCCGTCCCCCCTCCCTGAAAGCCTAGTTTACGGTCTGCAAAAAAAAAACTACAAAAAATTTAAAAAACACAAAAAAAAACTAAAGATGGCAGCATTATTTTCTACAGAAGCTCACCAGTCGCCTTAACCAGGGAGCGTTGTACCAGTATTACAGGAGATGTTGTCAGTCAGTGATGTGTGCCAAGTCTAGGTTCACTTTCGTGTGCCGTTAACCTCTCACTCGTCTGGGTTTTCACTCTTCTGCCATTTCGTCCGATCGGCCACAGCGGGAAGGCTGAAATGGCTCCTCGCAGCAGTTGAAGGCGATTCAGAGAGAACGAGAGAGATGGAGGCATCTGTTTGAAGGATGCCCCTCTCCGTCTGGTTGTTGTCTCCCAGGCTAACCGGGGTTATTAGAAACAGGGCTAGTGGAGAGACGTCTTATTGGAATAGCGACGGGGGAAATAAAGCGCTTGTTGGTTGGAAAGGGAAGGGTCACGTCCAGGGGTCCCGCGCGCAGGCGGAAACAACAGCCAGAGCCGAGATGAAGGCAATACAGCTTTCATTATCCGCTCTCCGAGACCAAACGCGATGCCAAACTTTATGCGATTTTACGAAGGGAGGCGAGCAGACTTCTTTTTTTCCTAAATGCAGTACACACACACACGAGGCGTGCCACAAACAGCCATAGCTACCTGTACGAAAGCCGGACAGTCCCCAGATCAGCGTCGATGGACCAGGTTTCGTGTAGTCGCGCCTTTTTTCAGCTCGTTCCAGCGCTGTCCTTTCCACATTCTGAGCGTCCCAAAAAAGCAAAGACAAATTGCCAAATCTCACCGACTTGCACAGAAGCCCCACATCGCACAGTCTCAGTGTGAAGCATCTCGTCTTTTTGTCCATGTCGAAGCACAACAGGGCCGTAGAAACGGAGTTTCTGTCGAGCGGCTCGCCTCAGGGGCTGTCATCGCCGATGCTCGTTGTAATCTTTCTATCTTGTCACTGTTCACTTCTCTGTTCTCCTTCTTTCTTAATTATCTTAAGTGCTATTTATCAAACAATGAAATCTGAAAGGAAAAAAAAATTGAACTTGTCGTTATTTTGCATTATGGCTTATGTCAAGTTTTTTGAGGAAAAATGTTTTGTGTGTTCTCTCTTCCTGTGGCGTAAAAAAAGAGCTTGTTGTCTGTAGAGATAATCTGATTTTCTTTTCTTTTTTGGGGGGTTGTTGTTGCTGTTTGCTGTTGTTGATTTGTTTCTTTTTAATTCTCAAAAAGGTTTTCAAGTAGTTTTCAAAGTTATTGTCACGAGAGAAGCCAAAGTCAATGCATTTCAGTGGATTCTGTAAGCGTGATGTATGTTTGTTTGACAACTCTTCGAAAATCTGTCACTGGATGGGATTTAAAAAGTACAAAAAATGCAGGCTTTCCTATTTCTACAACTGATTGTACTTATGCATTTTGTACCAGTGGAATTTTTTATACTGGAGATTAAAGGATACAACAAAAAAAATCTTAGAAAAAAAAAACAAAAAAACGCTGTCTGGCCTGGTGGTGTGGCCTGACCCTGACTGGTCCCCGAGTATGATTTCTAGCTGGCATCGAGAAAGTTGGCTTTTGATATAAGATTTTCTAGGAGATCTTTGGCTTTATTTCTTTCACTTCTTTTTCCTCACTCGAGTGTTGTTCTTTCTTTCTACCTTTCTTTCTTACTTTTTTTTCCCCTTTTTGTCCGAAAAACAGAGCGTAGGTGAGTGTCAGATCTTTCATTTTTTGCTTTATAAATAGTTCTTAGCAAGTTTGTCTATACAACAGCGGTAAGTTTCATTTGACTTCTGTATTGTGCCGTCTACACGATAAGACAATTATAGAAAAAGAAGGAATAGAAATATTTAGTCACCTTCAGTGGATTAATGTATTAGTTTAATAAAGAGATCAACTAATTAGAAGATTTTTGCTTTTAGCTGTTTAGATTTTTCCGGTTTCTCTGTCCTTCTCTGTGAACTAACTGTGTAGCTGAAGCAGTCAGAATTATTTTTGTAAACGTATGTTCTTGTGTGATGCAGTTTTTTGCTTCTGTCTCCTATATTAAACCATTTTTCCTAATACTTGTCTCTCTCTGTGTTGTTATGTTCCAGTGGCTGTCTGATGTTGTACTGTTTCACAACCTCTCTCCCTGCCATTCGCTCGTTTTCTCTCTCTTTCTCTTCTTCGTCATAGTCTCTCTTTCTCCCTCGCATTCTACCTTTCCCCTCTCATGTTCGTGTTTATTTATTTATTTTAATTCATTTATTTATTTTGGTTATTGTTTTGTTTTTATCACATAGTAAAGTTGACTTCATCCGCAATGACAACTCACTATGCTGTTCTCACGAAACATAGTAAATATACATCGAGGTGTTTGTATGTATATTACTGTGTAGCCCAAGTCGTCGCGCGACAGTCAACAAGTGTTCCCCAACCCAAAAAATGGCAACGCGGGATCCTGCAAATCCAAATTTGACCAGGAACAATTAAAAGCTTGTTAGTTGGGTCTAGAAATCCCTTAGCTTGAAAGAATGGTTTGACATTTTGGGGGAAAATAC